CCTTCTCGTTCTATGGTGCGTTTAGATGGAAACATGTCTTATGCAAGGTTGGGTCTTCAACTCTTGAGAACGTTTCTCCAAATGCACTCCAATAACTGTAGGTGTTGCCATGATTTTGTAGACAATGTGGTTCCAAACCCAAAGGAGACCCAGTGGGCTTGGTTCCTGAGACATCAAAGATGAACAGGCGCATTTAGGGCTAAATATACAGAGCAGTAGGTGCCCACTACACAGGGCGAGGAGCCAGGAGCAGGCTGACTCAGCAGCCACAACAAAAGGGACACATCCTCACAGGAACCTCCTCCTCACACTCAGAGCAGAGCCACTAATCACACACAGGCATATGGCGTGTCTACACAATGAACTAGATAATGGAAAGACCTCACCATTTCTGCAGACTTGTGCATGAAGGCTTGAGTAATGAACTTGCCAACTCAAATCCTTTCTCTGGATTTGGAAAACTTGAGAGTAAGAAGTCGCTTGGGTATAAATTGTTGTTTTGTGGGGTTTTTTTGTTTTGTTTTTTGGCATAGTATCTTGTCCATAAAAAGAGTTCATTGAAAAAGGGGGGAGGTGAAGAGTGGCTAGCTAACATCCTCCCAGCGCCCTTATCAAATGTGCTCGGTAACTGTTTGATATGAGATCTGTTGCAGGAGAACTAATTGTGATTTCTGTGAAATTGCTGTCATGTTCTGCCTGTCACAGGAAGTGTGTGCTTTAATGGCTGGTATCACCCAGGCCATCATCCTGAGATGTTTGATTTTCTGATGCAATTATTCTTTTTAAAAATCGTGAAAATGCCATGTGAGCTGACAAAAAGCAAACAAGTGGTTTTTAGTCTTAACGGCTTAGGTTTTTAAGGAAACTATTTGAAGAAAATAGTAAGAGGGACTTTCTGGTGCTAAGAGCATGGTGGGGTGGGGTGGAGGGAGATAGGGAAATGGTCTTGAATAAATGAATAGTAATTAAAATGGTCCAACAAAATGATCACATTTTAATCCTTATTATCCATGTCCCCACCCCCCTGAATCTCATGTTGCTAAGTGTGATTTTTTTTTATCCTCACCTGAGAATATGTTTTATTGGTTTTAGAGAGAGAGAGAGAGAGGAAGAGAAAGAGAAAGAGAGAGAGAGAGAAAGAAACATTGATGTGAGAGAGAAACATTGAGCAGTTGCCTCCCATACACACTCTGACTGGGGATCGAACCACAACTTAGGTGTGTGCCCTGACTGGGAATGGAACCTAAAGCCCTGTGGTGTACAGGATGACACTCCAACCCACTGAGCCATCTGGCCAGGGCTATACTGTATTAATTTCATTTATTAACTCCAGATTAGATATGTCTTCCTTAGGCTAGTAAAGTAGAATCGTTTCCCTTGGAAACATAATGTTGTTGTTCCTTAGCATTTACGAGTGAGTTCAGATTACCTTCTTTTTCATTCTTTCAAACCACGGATCCAAAAGGGAGGGAGAACTCCCTGGTGTCCTAAGACAGCTTGTCCTGGGACAACTTGCAAAGTGCAGCTCGGATTTTCGGCCTCTTTGGCCTTGGTCACCCAAAAAGGAAAGTTTTCCCTTTAAACAACAACGCTCTTATGAACATGTGTCTTGCGTCATAATTGCCATTTACAAGTGTGGGCCTGCGTCACTGCATGATGAGCTCTGGTGTCGGGTTACCCGCAGGTGCCCAGCGAGTCTTCTCTGAGCCTCTGGGTTTCAGTGAGGGACTCAACGCTGTACTGGGAACCAAGTATTGATGCCACGCAGGGCATTTACTGAGCATCTGCACTCTGCTGGGCATTAGTATGCAAAATAGGAAGGATGCTCCCTGTGTCCAAAGAGCTCAGAGTTTGGTGAGAAGCCAGCTGACGAACAGATAACCACACCGCAGTGTGAGCCATCGTGTGCCAGAGGGGAGCACCCAGTGATGCCTAAGAGGAAGGGAAGAGGAACTCTTTTTTTCTTTTTAAAATATTTGCATTGATTTAAAGAACTTGTTAGAGAGCAAGTTGACCCCAGGCCTTGAAGGATGAATGAAATTCAACCAGTTCAAGACGAGTTAGGTGAGAACTGTGGGGAAGTAAGTTTGGGTAGATAAGGTGGTTGCAGGGGAACTTGAAAACCAGGGGCAGGAACTTGGACCTGAACTGGTGAGTCACGGGAAGCAATCAGCTGTGAGCTGCGGAGCGGGACAGCATGACCTGTGAGCTGTTCAAGGGAAACTGTTCAGACATGACCTGTTGGAGACACGGAGGTTGGCCCAGGCGCAGCCAGGCAGTTCTGCCAAATGCCAGTCAATTGGACGGTAATGAGTCTGGGGATGGGGTGAGGAAAGAAGAAATGGAGAGCAAAGGACAGTGCTTGGCACACGGGAGGAGATGCACAGAAGTCTGCTGAGAGGAGACTGGAATAGTTAAGTGGCTCGTTGACAGCACTCCATGGATTAAAAAGGAGTGGATGTGAAACCTGAGAGGGATGAGGAATATGAGGGATGAATGGCTTCAAAGAAAAAGAAATGCGCTAGCCCTGGCCGGTGTGGCTCGGTGGGTAGAGCGTCGGCCTGGGGACTGAAGGGCCCGGGTTTGATTCCACTCAAGGGAACAGGCCTGGGTTGCGGCTTGGTCCCTGGTGGGGGGCGTGCAGGAGGCAGCTGATCAACGGTTCTCTCTCATCATTGATGTTTGTATCTCTCTCTCCCTCTCCCTTCCTCTCTGAAATCAGTAAAAATTATTAAAAAGAAGGAGTTTTGGTTCCTTCTCCTGAGTGCACCTTATCACACCTCCAAGTGGTGGACAGCAAGTTATCAGTACGCGTTAATGGGAAGTGACAGCTCAAGGAAACGAGAGAAAGACGGTGTGGCTTTCAGCCCCGCTGGTGTCCTAAGATGGCTTGTCCTGGGGACACCTCTCAAAGTGCTGCTCAGGCTCTTAGCCTCGTTGGCCTCGGTTTCCTCATCTGAAAAATGGGGCAGCTAAGTGTGACTAGCTACCGTCCTGCCAGCATTAATAATCAGTGACTCTGTCCTTTTTTTGCGAATACTGGTGTTCTTTCTACTTAAAAAAAAAAAATAAATAACAAGCTGAAAAATGCACCTCAACGCTTCCCCCTGAAGTGAGCGGAGAGCACCAATGTATGAGGTACACACAGAATCTAAAGGCCTGTGAGCCGAAGGATCCCATTGCCAAAAATGGAAGTGGCGTTTGGAGTGTTGTTTTTGCCATGTCCCCTGGACTTAAATGGAACGAAATCCTCTCGCAAAGATGAAGAGGAAAGGAGAGGAGGGGAGAGGAGGGGAGAGGAAGGGGAGAGGAGGGGAGCGGAGGGGAGAGGAGGGGGTGCCTTGGCAGGGAGCGGCTGCTATTCCATGCAGCCGAGGTCCAAGTTCAAACACGCTTGCAGGAAAGCTGCGGTCCAATCCCCCCACCCCCTACACAATGAAGCTGTTGTGAGTCCCCAGGCTGGGAGAAGGCAGCTGGGTTTCTGGAGCTCAGTGGCCAGCGTCTTTCTTGTTCCTCTTTGAATCTCCTCTTGGGGAGACACGCCCTAGGGACAGACTGGTCTGGAGAAGGAAATCCTTGTTGTCAAGTCTCACAAACAGGCAGCGATCCCGAACAGGAGCCACCAGCCCTCGTGAGCACGTGCCTCCGTGAGTCACCCAGCCGTGCGGGGATAAGGACTTTCCATAAAACAGGGAGCGCTCGACACTTTCCCCTCGCTCAGGGCTTGCCCTGCCTCTGATGACCATTTTTGGTGGGGACGTCGCTGGACGGCTGGGTCTTTTTGCTGCGCTGGCTGAATTTTGTAAACTACCCCCTCCAGGAATGTGTTGGATAAATGCCCATCTGATTGCCAATGTCCAGAGGGACTTCTGTGCCTACTGCTCATGAGATCTAATCGGCCGGTCCCCGACATGGCTCTGACCCTGTCTTTGGGAAAAATTTCCCAAATGATGAATTCCTTTTCCTGCTGAACCTCTCTCTGTGCGATCGTTTTTCTGCACGTGAAGCGTAAGCAGCTGACACAAAAGGAAACTGAGGCTCACAGAGACGGAGGCGGGTATGCTTCCGATAGGGCACCTGCTCTGTGCGTCCTCCACGCCAGGCACTGGGAGGGGCTCTCTGTGAGTTTAATTCATTTAATCCTCAAAGTGACTAGAAAGTAGATATTATCGTCTCCCACCCTTTAATGCCAAGGAAACTGTGGCCCAGAGAGGTGAAGTCAGGAGCTGCTGGCTGGTGCTCGGAGCCGGACGCGGTGCTGACTTCCCCTGAGCGGTGGCCCCCTAACTCTCCTGCCCCCTGGTCTCCTGAGGGCCATGCCGTGTTCTAGTTCTGGATTCGGTTCTGGACTATTTATTGTCTTTCTTTGTCCTCGGGTTCCCAGACATCAGATGGGCAGAAAGTAATGGGGGAGTCCACAGGGGTGGAGGGTGAGGGACGAAGTCATGCGTTGAGTAAACACACGTGTGGATGCGCACACAGGTACACAGGCACGCATGTGTGCAGACACGCATGCACACACATACGTGCACATGAGTGTGTACACAGACGTGCATGCACACAGGCCCACACACTCCCGAGCGGCCCACTTGCTTGCTTTCTATTCCCGTCACTGGGCTCCGCGGCCGCTTCCTGCCAGGTTATACATAGTCCTTCCCCCAGGGACCAGCCTTTCGCCGCCAGGTCCTGGGAAGGGGCAGGAAGGCGATGACTTCCTTCCCAAGGGCCGCCCGGAATCCGTGTTCGGAGAGGAGCCCTGACCAGAACTGCTCCACAAGAATAGCAACTGGCAGTGCCCTGGGCGCCCCGGGGCCGCCTCTGGCTTCCACCGTGTTTGGACGGAGCAGCCCAGGCCGCCCCATCTTCCGGCCTCGACCGCCCCCCACCCCACCCCCGTCTCTCGGTGCCTCCCGCACCACCTGCGAGGCCAGCGGCACCACCACCTGGGCTCCCGGCCCGCCCTTCCGCCGCGGCCACCTGTCCTGCGGCCGCTCGCCTACCTCTCCCTGCGCGGCCTGGAGTCGGCACCGAAGGAGCGCGGGTCCGAGCGTGTCCGACGGATGCAGCCCCCGCGCCAGCTGCGTCCTCTTCCAGGGCCCGGGGGAGCCCCCGGGGCGAGCGGGCGAAGCTGGGGCGCCGTGGGGGCCTCGCAGGTCCCGCAGAGGCGCCGGAACAGGCCCTTTCCAAGCGCCATCCCTGCGCGGACCCTCGGCTCCCTGACTTCCGGGAGAACCGCTTCCGGGTCGGGAGGTGAACCGCGCGGGGAAGGTGGGCGTCCGCTGACCCGCCACGTGGGCTGCTGGCCCCAGGCTGGCCGGGCGGGTCTGTCCCAGAGGCTCGGCCTCCAGCGGGACGAGGGGCCCAGCGGCCTCTGGGGGCCCCTCTGCCTCCCCTGGGGACTGGCTTTGGCCTGAGTCTCTCCCTGAAACGACTAGCATCCTTCTCACCGCCCTGCGGCCCTCGCCCATGCATTGGACCAAATGGAAACAGTAAAGCTTTTTGCAGCAAAAAAAAAAAAAAAAAAAAAAGAAAGAAAGAAAAGAGAGAGAGAGAAAGAAAAAGAAAAAGAAAGAACAGCCACTGTAAAGGCCGGCCTCTGGGCGTGAGGCGGCGCCATCGGCAGCTCGCAGACCTAGCAGGAAATTCGCTCTGTGCTCCCCGTTGACCAAAGCAAACCCCAATCCCGATGGGTCACCCCCACACGTGCCCCCAACCCAGGACCCCAGGATTGCCATCTGGGGACATATTCTTTTTTTAAGACATTTTTAATTTTTCAATCACCATTGACATGCAACGTTGTATTAGTTTCAGGTGCACATGGGGACGTACCCTGAGACACGCTGTCATGGCTCTTAAAGCCACAGCGTGGAGAGCTGTGCTGTGGTGACAACGGATGAGGTTGAATTAACACGGAAAGATGCCCGGGGGGTGTTCATCGGGTGAAATGAGCGTGCGGAGCTGTATGCAGGGCTCACTCCCATTGGTGTAACAAAGATAGAAACACCCGCAGGATGACAATAATAAAAACGCAGGAGGAACACCTACACGGGCTCATTATGCACTTGCCATTGTTCTAAGTGCATTTGTTCATGTATGAATCCTCAGAACACGGTCCTATGAGAAGGAAACTCAGATTGCCTCAATTTTATATGAAGAAGTCAACGTACGGAGAAGTCAAGTAACTTGCTCAAGGTCACCCAACTAAGAGGCGAAGTCAGAATTCAAACCCAGGCATCCTGGCTCCAGAGCGTCTGTTACTGAGCACCACATGCGACGTTAAGCAAAGAACAATTCTAGGCAAGCACACGGCACCCTGCGAACAATGGTTGGCTAAGAGGAGTGGAAATGGTGGGTGGGATGAAGGACAGCACGGGAATTTTATTTTTATAATCCCTACTTTGGTACTTTTGGGCGGTCTTTTTTTTTTATTGTTGCCGTTAATCCTCACCCAAGGATACATTTTTTTCCGATTGATTTTTAGAGAGCGTGGAAAAGAGGGAGGGAGGGGCAGAGAGAGAAATAGAGAGCAAGAGAGAAACAGGGATGGTTGCCTCCCACACACACACTGACTGATGCCAGGGACTGAACCTGCAACCCAGGTACATGCCCTTGACCAAGAATGGAACCCAGGACCCTTCAGTGCGTGGGCTGATGCTCTAACCACTGAGCAACAGTGGCCAGGGCCTTGGCATTATTCTTAAACTATCTGATGATTTGCGCACAGTTTTAAACATTCTTGAAGGGCTGCAGGCAACCATTGACTCTGTGGTAGCTCTGCCAAAGGAGGAGATTCCACAGACTTGGTTTCTGGGAGGACAGAAGTGGGTTGGGCTTATGAGCGGAAAGGAAAGAGTCGAGTTTGACTTGAGGATAAGAGGAGGTAGGAGGTGCTTAGTCATATCCTAGAGACAGGAAGTGGAACTGTGCTCTGGGACTGGGGAGGGAGATGGGAGTCAGTGTTCAATGGGTACCGAGTTTCAGTTACACAAGGCGAAGAGCTCCAGAGATGGAGGGTAGTGACGGCTGCACAGCAATGGGAATGCATGCAATTCCGCCATCCTGGGCATTTAAAAATGGTCAAAATGAGCCCTAACCAGCTTGCTCAGTGGATTGAGCATCAGCCTGCGGACTGACGGGTCTTGGGTTCGATTCCTGTCAAGGGCACATGCCTAAGTTGTGAGCTCAATCCCCAGTAGGGGGCATGCAGGAGGCAGCTGCTCAATGATTCTCTCTCATCATTGATGTTTCTCTCTCTCTCTCCCTCTCCCTTCCTCCCTGAAATCAATTAAAAATATATTTTAAAAAATGGTTAAGATGATAAATGTGATCTTAGGTATAGATTACTACAATTAAAAGCATTGAGGAGATGCCCGGCCAGTGTGGCTCAGTGGCTGAGCAACGACCTAAGTCCAGGAAAGCCATCCTGCGTTGCCACGGTGACGGCGGAGGCCTGGCAGCGCGAGAGGGGATGTGGGCTCAGTTAACTTAGGTGAGGAAGTTACTGACTCAGGCCACTCGGTGTCGGTACTTTCTGCCACAAGGTGTTTTCCAGAGGATTCCTAAGACGCCTTCCTCTCTCTACATGTTTCATGAAACGTGTGTGTCTGTATATCTGTGTATGTGTGTGTATGCATGTATGTGTGTCTGTGTGTCTGTGTATGTGTCTGCCTGTCTGTATGTATGTGTGTGTGTGTGTGCCTGAGTATGTGTGTGTGCCTGTGTATGTGTGTGTGCCTGTGTATGTGTGTGTGCCTGAGTATGTGTGTGTGCCTGTGTATGTGTGCCTGAGTATGTGTGTGTGCCTGTGTATGTGTGTGTGCGTGCCTGTGTATATGTGTGTAGTGGGATGAGACCACAGTGACCTGGGATCCAGCAGAACCAGGGAGAGGCCGGTCTGGCAGCGGACCTCCCTCCGAGAGCAGCTCCGTTTAGATGGGGTGGAAACGGTGCCTAAAATAGCTGCAGCCTCCACAGGCCCCGAGACCAGCAGCGCCGAGGGGTCGCACACACTGATGCCTGGGGCTGGGCTGTGAGACAGGTGTGGTTTCTGGCTTTCCTGGGGCCCCTTCGCCCCATCCGGTGTCGGAAGGCATCACGCCCTCTGTGGGCAGATCCTGGCCGCCCCAGCGGGGCACAGATGAGGCTGGCGGCCCACAGGAAGTCTGGCTCCCTCAGCCGCCCAGCCCTGCGCGCTCTGCTCCGTGGGAGGCTGTGCCCTTCCCCGGGCAGAAGGGCAGCATGCTCTTCCCAGTTTACTGACCCGGGGCCTTCGCTGCAGGAGGGAAACAGCTGCGGGCTGAGCGGCAGTCAGCCCCCGGGGAGCCAGGGTGGGGCGGTGGCTCCGGGCTGATGAGGGTGGGTGTGCTCCCCACCGGCCACTGCACTCGCCTGTGGGCCTTTCCGAGCCACCGGCATCCGCATCCGAGCGTGGCCCCTGCACGCGCCCCCCGCATGGCCGACGGGGGGAGGGTTATTTTTAAGCTGCTCTGGGTGACTTCCTTTTGGCCTCCATCCTGCTCTCCTCTCTCAGAGGCTGACAGCGGCTTCCTGCTTAGACCAACCCAGCTGGGGGCGGGGGGGCGGGGGGTGGGGGTGGGGGGGCGGTGCAGGGTCCTGGGGGCAGGGCTGCTGTGTGCAGGTTGTGATGGGGCAGAGGAGGGAGCCAAGCTCCTGGCAGGCAGAGTCCAAACCCAAGGATAACAGGACTGTCGGAGGCCTCCCAGCCTCAGGCCCAGGTCTCCGTGGGGGTGGGTGGGGCGAAGGGGGCCTGGATGGGTCCCCAGCGGGGGTCACAGGGCACCTGCAGGCTCTGGCGCCAGGCCCTGGGGCTGCACTGAGCCCTAGCTCTGCGGCTGGCAGGGAACGCCCTCCGTCCCTCGGCAGGTGGCGTGTCCGGCGGGTGGGCCAACGTCCCCAGATGGTGCCCCTGGTGAGTCACACTGCCAGCCCCCCCTCCACCTTCGTGTCAGAGCGGGCACGCTGAGCTCCGCCTGCCCCTCTGCCTCATGTGGCTCTCAGACCCACAGCTGGGGCAGCTCAGCCCAGATGACAGCTCCGACCGGGGGCTCGCAGCCCCTGCCTTGAGAGCGCCTGCCCACTGGGGACTCGCAGGGCTGAGGACGGGCCTCGCAGCTTAGGGGCGGCAGGTGGGCATCCAGGTGCCAGAGCGCACGGGAGACGGGCCGGAAGCGCCAGGGTGTGTCCCAGGGCCCAGTGACCACTGCGCGCCCAGAAGGGCGGGTGCAGATGAGGGTCGGGGCCGGGACCTGGGCCCTCACGCTAGAGGCTCCTCCTTCAGGGGCAGAGCCAGCCCCGGGGCCAGCTTCCTGCTGAATTCAGGATTCTAGACTCTCAGCCTCTGTGGCTCGGTGCAGACTGGCCATGGACCCCCGAGCTGCCCGGGCCAAGGACTGCTGGGCTGGAGGCTGGCTCCCCGCCCACAGGCAGCGCGGCCTTGGCAGGTTACACAGCCTTCCCCAAAGTCAAGTTCCTCACCTGCAGGAAGCAGATGTGATGAGGATGCTGGGGGCTCCGGGCCTGGGCCACACCCGGGATCACGGGAGAGCCCGTGACAGCGCTCGGCGCGGTGCCAGGCCCAGCGGAAGCCCGGGAGGAGTAGTTGCTATTTCTGTATGACTGCAGAGGAAAGTCCCGGCCACACTGCACACACACACACACACACACATACACACACGCACACACATACACACGCACACACAACACACACACGCACAAACATACACACGCATGCACATATACCCACACACACACGCACGCACACACACGCACACACCAACACACAAAACACACGCGCACACACATACACACAAACACACACACATGCACACATACCCCCACACGCACACATAGACACAAACACACACATGCACAAACACACACACAAACATACACACGCATGCACACTGTGCTAGGCGCTACTTTAGGTTTTGCTGCTAACGTACGTACTACATCTGTTCCCTCTTGGGGCCTTTGTCGTCGTCTGTGACCTGGGAGTTGGACTTGCTGGTTTCTAAGACCCATTGCGGCGCTCGCAGGGAATTCAACATCTAAAAGGGCACTTATTCAGGGCTATGCAGACACCCTTCCTTTGCGAGTGGAAGGGAGGGAGAAGTGGGGGGCCTGGTGGAAATGTTAGGGCCTTGCCCCGGGGCCGCTCAGCCTCGGGCGGTCGGACTGAAGCTGTGCCCTTTGCCCTCCCTGAGGTTCTGCATCTTCCTCCCACAGCCCGCCCCCCAGGGCCCCCTCCCGCAGCCTGGCCCAGCCTGTGCTGCCCGCCTCCCAGCAGGTTTCCAGCTTGTGGGTGGCATGGGGTCCACATTGGTCATTTGTTCCATTTGCTCAGAAACAACAGCCAGCATTATTGGCCGCAGCTGGAGAGGGTGCCAGCTCCACCATAACACAAAAAGCCCAGTCATGGGCGCCGGGCGGGGGCGCGGCCGGGGCGGGC